ACCATGTGCATAGTCCTTCCATCTGCCATCTCGGACCTAAACGCCTCCTCATGAGCCACCTCCTCCACCGGCTTCACGTAGTTAAACGTTAACTCCCATTCCCAAGTAGTAAAGGCTTTCTGACCATTAACCGAATGCGTCGTGATTTTGAGGTTGTCAATGGAACCGAAAACCTTGACGAAATAGGTCCCCATGGCAGCTTTGTCGAGGTCGAGTACCCCAACTCCTACCTGGATTCAGTATGCATTACTGTGGTGAAAAAAGTGACGGACCGAAGTCAGAGAAAGAAACATCTTCTGACATGAAAGACATGAGGTCCTCGACGGAGCCTATTTTCCATGCTGCCTCGTATTCTTTTAGGTGTTTATCGACTGGTGCTCGATTAGTATGATAGGACTCCATACTGGCAATGTGATAGGGATGAGCTCTTGAATGTGAGGAGTGATTCACAGAGCAGAAGTGAACAAGAAAGCTGTTTTGCTTTTACTAAATATGCTTACGATTTGAAATTAAAAGCTGAGCATGGATGGTATTTACTAGGCATTTCTTCTACCCTGGTCTTGAGAAGTTTAAGTCGCTGGTGGAAGAAGGGTTTCCAGGCTCCGATATCGTAAACCCCTTCCGGATCCATCTACCAATAGAAGAGATATTGCCCAGGAATGCGGTACTCCTTCAACTCGCCCTTTATATCCCTTTTCACTGGCTACAGAAGCGCGATGCGGCGGAAGAACTGGTTTTTACAAGAAGGCGCGACTCGTGTGCTGGTACCAGCATTTGATGCATCTGAAATGCCAACCTCACTTGATGCTCAACAGCTGGCATTCTACCTCTATCTAAAAAATTGCGTGTCTACGATAGCGAAGTCTTAGCAGTATCTAAGATCGCCGCCGATGAGCACAACCTGCTCGCTGTCATGCCGACCACAAGTGGCTGGGAAGTCCACGTATTCAGTTCACAGGGGCCAATCACGCTACATAAAGAAGAATGGACTCAATACTGCTTTTCAAGAAACCTGCTTGAGGCATTGCGGCTTGAAGTATACTGTCATCCCAGGTCGACCCTTGACCGACGATTGGAGTGGTGGGTTCGGGCCTTCAAAACATGAGGGTGCATGTACTGGGACGTTTGTGCAAAGCTGCCGGAACCCTGGAGAAAGATGCGTCAAAACATAACGTAGGGTACACCGCCACCCACGTGTGCCGATAAGTGCTTGAGCAATTTTAATCTAGAACGTGCTGGGTCTTTGTTTTGAATAGCCTTAGCTAAACGTTTACACCCAAGCTGAAAGATACCAAATGGCCGAGATCATGGGGCGGGAGCCTGGCCATGAGCCTAGGTAATCTTACAGGGCGCCATGCTTCTGCAGCCTTACTTTAGCCAAAAGATATCCTTCAAGCTTAAGATTCGATTCCTGGGTGAAGAAAAATGTTTTACTTGAAGCACCTATTTATTTGCTCAAAATAACTGCAGTAGTGAAGCGGAGCACCGCACCTTCTAAAGTTATTCCAGAGTGACGAATAAACTTGAAAGAATGCCGTAGTTCCGCACTTCTGAAATTGAATCAAGGAGGGTTGTGGTGAGCACCGTACAGCTCAGAAAGTTGACTACGGATGCTGGAGGGTTTGGGACTGAAACAGTGGCATAATGATTTTCTAAGACGGTATCTCGTACGCTTTGATCTCCATAAATGATTCAAGGTGACAAATAATTCTTCGTATATAGCGGCGTAAAAAGATCTTCACGAGGTCAGACGAGAAAATGAGAAACAGGAACTTCGGTATCGGAATGATCAACAGAGCCAATGTCATCGAGCATTCAAAACCAGCACGTACGAACAATTCAAGGATGTCAATCCCGATCGGGTGGAGGGCACTTGTCAATGGGTACTATCCCACTCCCAATATCGGCAGTGGCTCACCAAGACCCACGATGACCTACTCTGGATCTCGGCGGATCCGGGGTGTGGCAAGTCGGTCCTCACCAAATCGCTCGTGGACAATGAACTTCGAAATGCTGATCAGCACACTATCTGCTACTTCTTTTTCAAGGACAACGAAGAGCAGGGCAACCTGGCGACGGCTCTTTGCGCGCTACTCCATCAATTGTTTGCCGGCCGGCCTCGGCTACTCCAATACGCAATTCCGGGATGGGAGAAAGACGGCGATAAAATCCAAAAAGAGGTAACCGAGCTTTGGCGGGTATTGGTCGCCGCCGCAAGGGATGACCAGGCTCACGATGTGACGTGCGTGCTGGATGCGCTGGACGAATGTCGAGAAGCGGACCGACGGTGGCTGATTGAGATGCTATCCAGATTTTACACCCAGATATCGGAGTCTTCGTCTACGACGCGGCGAGGCCGACTGAAATTCCTCGTGACCAGCCGACCGTATGATGACATCCAGGCCGAGTTCCAGAGGACGCTCAAAGATTTGCCTACAATCCGACTACGGGATGAAGAAGAGAATGACCAAATCCACCGAGAGATTGACTTGGTCAGCCGAATGCGAGTGGCACAACTCGCGGCAGATCTAAGATTGGATGACCACACCAAGGACCGACTGGAGACTCAACTCCTTGAGATGGAGCATCGCACGTACTTGTGGCTTTATCACGCGATTGCTAGTATATATCAGACTTACCGGAACAGTTTGCGACTCGAGGAAGCATCGATCAAGTCACCCCCGTCCAGCGTGGAAGACGCATACGAGAAAATTTTGAGTCGTGTCGATCAGGAGCAGAGAGGCAAAGTTAAAAAGATCCTGCAGATTGTGGTTGGGACGCGGCGGCTGCTCCACGTCGGAGAGATGGCCATCGCTCTCGGAATAGCCACGTCAACACACCCCAAGTCCCTACACAAAGCCAGACTCGACCCTAGCAGGCTGGAGAGTAATATTCGTCATTGGTGTGGTCTCTTCGTCTTTATTAATCACGATCGAATATATCTCATTCACCAGACGGCTAAGGAGTTTTTAGTCGGTGGGAGCGGTTGCACTACCTTCCCATCTGGGTGGAAGAATTGCCTTAATCCGCGAGGAATTGAGCGAGAGATGGCTCAAATATGCGTGGAATTTCTGTCCTTTGACGATGTTGGAGCAACAGCACAGTCCCTCATCCTGCAATTCCGAAAATTCGAGAGGCCTGACTACATTTTGGAGAAAGACAATCACATCCAAAGCCTTTTGGTCTATTCAGCAGAACACTGGCCGTCTCATCTACGAGAAGCATACTTACCTCACGATGATTTGGCAGTATTTCGGATTCTTGGGTTTTATCAGGTCAACAGCAAGTTGTACAATTTCTGGTTCCCAATAATTGGCAGGCAACAAGGCCATTTAACGACCTTCCGGAGATGAGTCCGATTCGACTTGGGGGACTGCTAGGCCATGAAAATATATTAGAATTGATGTTACAGCTGAAAGAACATTACGATATTGACAAATCGGACAGAGACGGCCGGACAGCGCTAATCTGGGCAAGTGAGTATGGTCACGAGAAGGTGGTGCAGATACTTGTTAATCAAGGAGCAAAGGTCAATGCTCAAGGAGGAGAATATGGCAATGCGCTTCAAGCAGCATCAGAGCGTGGTCACGAGAAGGTGGTGCAGATACTTGTTGATCAAGGAGCGTATGTCAATGAACAACTCGTGAGCATTGCCTGTTCTTTCCCTACCCCGAAGGTACAGTTCCTGGTGCCATCGCTTCGCACGTCCCAGGACCACAATACATCCTGCGTAGCTTCCGCTTGAGCACTCATCACAAGCCTCCTCTGTCTATGTGGACTTGTTTTTGACGGTTCCGCCACTGTAGAGGACTGGAAATGGGATCCAATGGCTCGTTGCTCACGGTGCGAATCCCAATGCTCACACCCTCTTCGTATGCGATCTAGAGTCGCCGACCTAATCGACATGCAGGACATCGACATTTTTCCCTTCTCCAATACTGTTGTCCGTAGTGGACAGTGATTTCTTCCCCATCATAAATATTTTCTTCAGCAACGATTGCGATCCTAAACTTCCCTGATACCCTCATGCCCTTGAAGCGGGCCAATGGGTCACAACTGTGATTGAACAGTCGAGAGATATTGCCGGACTCAGCACAGTTAATCTGGGCGACTGTGGGCTCGCCAAGGATATCGCTCCGGTCCACCTGTATACATTGACCATTGTCGTACGTATTGGGAGGCGCTAATGTCCCCGTAAGGAAGGCGATAATGGTGCCCTTCGAATACGCGATTTGGCCCGCTTCCTTCGCGACGGCTTGGAGACCTCGGTTTTTGGCCCCATACTTGTCTTCATAATCTCGGATGCGAGGCTGTATGTCGTGACGAATGGCGGCGCAATGGCAATTTTTCTCATGGCATAGGTAACAGGGGCAATTGCTCTGATGACACAACTTGCACTGAATGCCACCAGAAGCAGGCAGGGATGTTGGGTCAACCGGCCACGGTGAATCATTGGGCCATTCTTCCGGTCTGGGCCAATCTGGGTACGCATCGGGATTATATATGTTTTCGTCCTTTGCTGGGAAGAGTCTCAAAGTAGAGATCAACTCTCCGTCCGAGATTTTGTCCAGTGATATACTCAGATTTTCGAAG